AACCACTCGATAAACACATAGTACAGTCATTGAAGCTGAAAATCAGCTGTAACCTCCGAATTCTTTGAAACTGCATGGATTTGCAAGAAAATTTAGAATAAGGCTCATATTAGGCTCAAGTTCAAAAGTGACATAAGCCCGATTGACGCTTTCTGTTTTTTAGGTGTAAAAACTACCCCTAAGTGAAAAAATTGAAAAAATTAAGTTTAAACATTTTATTGATAAAAATCTTGTTCAAGCACAAATATTAAATAATGTTCCATGTTCTCGAACATGTTTTTTGATATATTTGATCTTTTCGACCCTTTATTTAACCCTTAAAAACTACTCCTATGCAAAAAATAATGATCAAAAATTACTTTTTAAAGATTTGGAATGATTAAATCGTGCAATTATTTAAAATAAAAGTTACCTTATAGCTAATAAAAGAGTTTTTCCCTTTCAACCCCTAAAAACCACTCCTGTATTGACAAAACTGATAAAAAATTACTTTTTAAAAGCTTGGATTGCTTTTACGGTGCAATTATTTAAAATAAAAATTCCCTCATTGCTTATGAAAGAATTTGTATCTCATAACACTTTTCAACCCTTATAAATCACCCCTGTGCTAAAAAAAATTATAAAAAATTACATTTTAAATCTTGCAATTCTATAATTGTGCAATAATTTAAAATAAAAATTCCCTTATATTGTTTATGAAAGAATATTTTACTTTTGCCATTTTCAACTCTTATAAACTACCCTTTTACCAATATTAATGTAAAATATTTTTATTATAATCGATTTTTAAATATAATCAATCATAAAAAAATTGCTACGCTGCATATAAATAATCAAACTATTTTTTTTACTTATTTTATTTGCATAATATAATATATAATAATTACTCGTATATAAAAATGAGAAAACCTATTTTGCTCCGAAAAAATGTCATTGGTTTTTTTACTCGGTTAATTTTGAAGCTATAGTATACTATAAAAAAGCATTTTGAAGATAATTTCAAGAGCTGTAAGATCGTTTGCATATAAAACCTTTTAAGTCCTTCATTTTTTAAAGGGAAAGGATCGAGACAGGTCGTTTTTTCACTAAAATGGATACTTCAAGCGGCGATATCTCCTTTATTTTTTACGCTATAGGAATAAAAAAAGCAAAATATTGTTGAAAAAAAATAAAACTAATTGTAAATGGTCTACGATCTAATTTTAATTCTGATGGAAGTGGTACAGCGTTTACTGCTCATTTTTCCTTAAAAAATATGAGCAATCCATCTATTTTTGGCGATAACTTCTTCAATTTTGCTCTAATTAACTTAGGTGCTCATTTTGAAGGTCTTTTTGAGAACTACAAAAAACTCCCGGAGCGTTATACACGTAAAATTAATACTTTTTCCGTTATTTGACGTTGAATACATCGATTCGAATATTCCCCCCAAAACAAGTCCCCTTCCACTAACCATATTTCGCTTTGTATAGGACGTACAACACTTTTTAAAAACGATTTTCTTTGTTTATTTATAAGCCAAATTTTTGTTCATCACACTTTTTTTAATAAAATGTGTAGTTTTTGAGTTATTCGCGAAAAATATTTTGAAAAAGTGTTTTTTTTTTCACACAAAATTTCAAGTTTTCAATAGTGAATAACTAAAAAATTATTGATCTCTCGAAAAAAATTTCCGAATATTTTTTTGCTCAAAATTTGATTATCGATTTCGTTATTTTTGAAAAAAAATTCCACCCCCGAGAAGGGGTGTCAACCCCCAACAGGGCGGAAGCGTCAATCGGCGCTATGTCACTAATGTTCATTGACCTTTTCTCTAACTATCTGCCAAATTTCAAGTCGATCGGTTCAGTTTCAAAGAATTCGGAGGTGAAAAGCTTCAATGACTGTACTAACACTGACAATAAAAACAAAAACAATAAAAATACTTTATTAGTAGAACTAGAAAATGCCAAGATTAAACAAAAGAAGAGAAAATAAGCAAATGACATATCAACAAGATCTCACCTGAATGAGGCTATCCTTTCCGAGCATGCGCAATAAGAATAACGCGGCCAATGTTAAATTTCTACATTATTTAAATTTAGGAATATTCTTTTATATCGTTTTTTGTAAGTTGTAAACACATTAGTGTATCTATTTTACAAAACACGTCTTGGTTGTTCTTAAATACTTCTAAATCCTTGTAAAAATAAATTAATTTGAAACTTAATTTTTATATATCTATGTAAATACCTAGTACAAAAGGGTCAGATTCAGTGCGTACAATTTCAACTATGACAATTTATTGCGGGTTGCCTAAATATGTGACGTCACACTAAAAGTCTATAATTAGCTCATTTTATATGAAAATTTGGATAAATATAATCTTAACATTTTAAATTTATGGGTCTAACGATATTTGCCAAAATGCCTATTCTTTTTATCTATAAATCAGTATCTGGAATTTCTTATCATAATTTTATCCGTTATTTTGAATTTATATATAGATATTAAGTAGTTTATTATAACAGATTATAGCTATTAGCGTTGTTTACATCCGCTAGTTTAGTATATCGGGTATTTGGCGCTGTATTTGAAATTATGAAGCTACAACGCATATTTTAATTCTGTTTAGGACTTCAGTGCGGTCAAAATTAAAAATGAAAAAACAAGGGTCTCATATTTTTTATCTATTTTAATTTTATGACGCTGAAACGCTTCATTTGCAACTTCTCCGTTTTCTTCCGATTCGAAAGTCGATAGCTTAAATTTTTCGAAATTTTTCAATCTAATACTGAAGTACTTTAATAAAATAAACTTTTCTAAGATTAAGCAAAGGGTCTCCCCATATTTATCGCGCTCTATATATTTTTTGTTTTTTCCTCAAATCGACGATTATTACAGCGCTATCTGCAGTCTTATCTCTCTGCACCATCAAAAACATGTTTTCAAAGTGGTCTCCTTGAAGTAGTTTTATCATTATCACCGCCGTTCGTCACTTCTCCCTAATCACACGTTGTTTCCATGCCCTGTTTATTGTTCCTCGTAGCGCCCGGGTCTGTTTGAAAAATCTGACTAATCTTTATCGCCGGGATTACGTCCGTGCTGCGAAGATTTGTGGGACTAAATAGTCAGTGCTATTTTTACGCGCATTCGCCGGTATCTGGAGTCGTTTCAGATGGGAAAAACGAAAGTCAAGGACGGCGATTTTTTTTTTATTAGATGTATCGGGAAAATTCTTCAAGTTGTGGGAAAGTTGACGTTTTAACTTTAACAGGCCCCCACGCCAAATCACCGAAGTCGTGATTCGACCATTTTTAATATTATAGTTTTTTTTTTGGGATAATTTAGAATAGCTTTCATGATTTTTTTTCAAATTTTTATTTCAACCCCTCAAGAAACATTTGAATATTTTGGGTAAAAAGTGTTCAAATAACTGTAAGTTGGCGAAAACTAAAGATATTATAAACTTTCTTTCTCATTTTGTTCGTTTTGAGATGTAGTTTTATAAAAAAATATAAAAATAATACGTTTTAATTTTTTTGATTTTTTTTTTGCATTTTTAAACCAAAACCATTATTTTTTTTTTGAAAAATTCTCAAAAAATCGTCTCAATATACAAATTTATGGGAGAAGTTCTATAGTGGGATCTTTTTTATTTCATTCTTTTCGAATTAATTTTTTTACATTTTAATGTTTTTTAGAGATGAAATGTAGTCTATTAAACTAAATTTTAATATAGAAGTAAATCACGATGACTAATTATTACTAAAAATACCATATTTTTAAAACTTCCTCTGCTGACATTGTCATTATTAAATATTTGAATTACTGTTAACTAAAATATTCCAATTTTTTCTTTTTCAGTATTAAAAAGTTTATTTTTCATAATACCATAAAACTTGTAATATTTTTTAACATTTGTATTTAGTAAAAACGTTTATACCTATACAGGGTGTCTCATAATTAGCTGCCAACCCTGAACAGATCAAAACTAAGTAAAAAAGTTCATATGAACATGGGTCCGGAAATGCTTTTTGCAATATCTCAATCGCGTTGTGATAAATGAATCAAATTTGGTATACACAGTTAAATTTTGATGAGCAATTTGATGGACTAATCCATTTATTTCCACAAGGTCCATTGGGGTGGGTACCGGGGGGCCCTTGGTACTTTGCGTGTGTAACTTTTTCATCTTTGACTTTCTAACAAATTGGACAGCAAATTCCGTTTTCCCGAACTGTTTTACGTTAAAAAGGTACTCTTGTTTCAAATCGTTATCCTTAACGGTTTCTGAGAAAATCGCTCTTGAATTAATCCCACTTTGGTCAATGCGGAAAATGTAAAATTAATTTCATTTCGGTCACTTTTTTGGAATTTCAGAAAAAGGCAATCGTATCTTTACAGGGAATGTTCAAATGAGATTTTTTATATGAAAAATCCACCTTATTTTTCCACAGCGAATCATCCCCTAAATTTTCTTCACACTTATTTATTTACACCCTGTGTATTATTTACAGCATTACTAGTTTTTCTTCTTCAAATAAAGAGAACACCACAATTTTGCATGAAACTCAACGGTTTGTTATTATATTCTTTGAAATAGTGAAATCAAATCTTTAACATTTTCTGAAGTGGACAGTCCACATTTGCTGTTTTTGTTCAGGGACAAGCAGCAAAAAACATTTCATTAACATTTGGTTTTCTTTACAGGTAAATGTTGTTTTGCATCGGGTTTTTGTTTAAAAACATTGGTTTATAAATTTTTAATTTTAAATATTTCTAGACTACTTTTATCCTTGCACTTTTTTCCTCCTTTGCAAAATATGGAACAAATTGAGGATGACATATAACAAACCACCCTGTAACACTTTTTTGAAAAAGCGCTCTCTTTTATCAATTAAAATGCGCCTGATCAAAATTTTTGCACTACTGATTTATTTTTTATGAATTCTAATAAAATAACAGCTACATTATCGTCTTCATTATGCTTGGAATTGAAACTATCTCTTTTGCTTTAGATGTACGTTTCGGTTTCCAAGTACAAACATCCGCCTCTCCTTCATGTCCCTGGTGGACGACAACTGCGAGCCGCCCCCCAAGGTGCGCGAGGTGTCCCCCATGAGGATGAGGGACAGGTCGGGGGGTGGGTCGGCCTTGCCGCCCCTCAGGATCAACATCCCCGACGCCGACTACGGCAGTCCGTTCCCCTCGCCCACCGGCACCATCAGCGCCGCCAACAGCTGTCCAGCCAGCCCTAGAGGTGAGTTGTTTTGTCAGAAGTTCCTCAGGGGTCCGTTCTGGGCCTCTTTTTTACCATACCGCTAATTAATACTATGAAATAGTAAAAAATGTGATCGAGCTGCAGTTGTTTCGGTAACGGGGTTGTTAATCACGTTTAATTTTGCCAGGCGGGCATGGTGGACACAGTGGTGGTCACGGGAAGAGGAACGTACAAGCAGATCTGCAGATGGTAGCCCAGTATGCCGCTCAAGTAGTCCATAGGGATGACAGCCATCATGTTCCTCAAAGTCATAGTCCCGAGTATAGGCAATCCACACCTAATGGAAATTCGGTAAGTGTTTTGGTTAAATCTGGGTACAATGAATCGAAAGTGTAAGACAGAGCTGCAATAAAAAAATAATTTATAATCGTATAAAATTAAAGAAGTAGGTAGTTGTTTATGTTTATTTGATGCACCAAAACTCTTCGAAATCATATGAAAAGTTTCATTTTTATTCAACTTATACTTTTGTCAGGGTTTATACCAATTAGAAAAGCTTGGATTTATCAAGAAATTTAATATATTTGCAAATGTCTGGGAAATGTCAGAATTTTTCAAATTTACATAAAATTCTTTACAGCGCTGAAAAGTGTATTTGTCACTACATACTACAGTTTTGCAGCATCTATCTGTCCACATGTGTCGTATGTTTATTAGTTGACTGTCATCAAGAATTAGTTTATGCGACTAATATTCATGTCCATATTTTTTAATCTCTACTGAACCAAATATTATCATTAGTGTAGAATTTATGATTTATCAACATCAACCTCAAGGAAACTAAATTTCTACTCATTTGGATTTTATTCAGAAAAATTGGTTAATATCTTTAAAAGTTCAGTTGTAACTTGATTGTTTACAGTGGAATTGAAAAAAAAATAAGTGAAAATAAATGATATTACCATAAAATTTAAGAAAGAGCGATTTTTGCCTTTCCTTTAATAAAATTTAAATGGCCGAGTAATTTTTGTTTGTTTTTATAAGACTTTCAGTATCTCTAATAAGCTCCTGAAAACTCTGAAGTGAATGTGGATGAGATGTAACCTACAAAGTATGTCATATCTTAAATATCACTGCTACATAATGCCTACTGGCATGAGGCGTTACTTTGTACCTACTGGAGTGGGTGGTTCTGTGGGATATAACCTACAAAGTATATGTCATATGTTAAATGTCATTGTAACATAATGCCTACTGGTGTAAAGCATTACTTTGTACCTACTGGTAAACAGTGAACCTACTAAAAATACTACCTCGTAAAGTGGTTGCTTCGCACAATTTCGGTAGTTAAAAAAATTTATAATAATTTTTGCTTGTCTAAATGTACTAAATAAGTGCAATCTAATCTACTGGTCAATTTTTAATTATAGAAGAAAATTTTATTTTGATCGACTAAAATTAAAATTTATATTTTTTTCAAAAAATAGAGATATATTTATTGACTAACTTATTTATTTATTTTGACTATTTAAATATTCACACAGAAACAAAGTCAACATAAAAGTAAATCAGAAATGTAAGTTTTTGATTTTTAAAAATTGTATTTAAAACTACTGCTTTTATTTTGAACTTGAGCTTCTTAAATATTTTTTAGTGTTCAATTTTATCAATGAAACGAATATTAACTTTCATGATATAGTTCTTAATAATTTGGCCAAAGAAATAATTTAAGTTGAAGATTTTGTGTAGTCTAATTATGCCGTTAGAATTTATCAAACTTTGGCTTACTAAACCAAAAATCTCTTTGTATATCTAGATTGTCCTTATTTGGTATTCACTCAAACAAAAATTATTAGAAGAGAAAGTTTTTTTTTAAATTGTAAATAAAAATGTCTCCTATTCGACGCAAATTTTATGGCGGCTGCTGTGGAATTTTTGAAATAATCATATTTTGTAAGTTTTTACTTATCGAAATCGAGGAAAAATTTAGGAAATGGTGATGATTCAAAAATGGAAACTGATATACTTATAACTTAGCAAACTGAATATTTCTTAGTCTACCAGGAAAACTTGAAAATTTTTTTGGTAAATATTTTGTTCTGGACACAGTTGGTGTTAAAGTCATATTATTTATCTCTGTTAAGAGATTAGCAGAAATAAACTTCGCTTAATTAATCAAATTAGGAATACTAACCTTGACCACTAAATATCGAAGATATACGCCACCCAGTGTGCTAAACAATGTGAACTTGCGACTCTGTCGTCTGTCCTTATCTCTGGTGCTTAGGAAATTTCGCAAAAAGTAAACATTCCCAGATATGGGGCTGTTTTAAGATTCTGTATTTATGATTTCCTTATCTGCCATGTAAATATTTATTAAGGAGAGTAGTTCTTGTATTACATTACCACTAGTTCTCCAAATGTGGTCATAAGAATTATGATAACCCCTTGCTCAAGATATACGGGGTGTTTCCAAATAAAGTTCGAAAAATTTGATGGACGATCTACTCAAAAATAATGGTACACAATTCTTGATACAAAATTGATATTTTGTCGTAATGACTCTCTGGTTACGCGATTTCTTTGAATTTGGTATACTTATTATTGGCAACAAACTACATCTTTGCATGCAAAAATTGTATAGTCTTAAATGAGTCAAGCAGAATCCGAATCTAGCCTCGGAATTAACCCATCACCTTAGGTTTCCAAGATATTCTAACTTGAATGTGTAAAAACCACGATTTTTTTGCTATATTCAAGATTATATGACATCGCGAATAATTTTTTTTTCTAAAAATCAATTACACCACTGAAAATTGGGGTCTTTCGATTTGAAAAACTTTTAATTTTTCGTCAAGGGATCGTTAATTGAAAATTACTACTTCATGAGCAAATTAAGAAATTTTTTAGGAAGCAGACATAACATATTTTTATGTTTTTTGGGTCGCTGAATTCGAATCTAAAGTCAATATTTTCCAATGACCTCACGTTTTTGAGATTACCTAACCTAAAAGGTCAAGGTGCACGAATTTCGGCTATACTAAGGTTATAAACCATTGTACACTATAACTGGCAGGCGCTGAACTTTCGAAAGGTTAACCTAAGTGCGTCGTAATCTGCATCTTCTATATCCACTACAAGTTAAACTCAAAATTTATATCCGAAGCACCTCGTAACGCCATATTATCATTCCCATGGCAGGTTAACCTAAAGGTCCAAATAGTAGTAATTTTTGATTAACGATATCTTAGCGAAAAATGAATATTACTTCATATCGAAAGAAGAGTTTTGAAGAGTAAAGATTCTACATTTCAGTGGTGTAATTGACTTTTAGAAAAAAAATTATTCGTCATATAATCTTGAATGTAACAAAAAACCTTGTTTTTTACACATTCCGAGGCCAAATTCCGATTCAGCGCATCAAAAACCTTTGGGGACGAATTGTCTGCTTCCTGGGATTTTCCTTTTTTGAAATTTTGTCGGCCTATGTAATTTTCGCAGATTTTAGTACTTACAGATATACAAAACAATTTTGATTAAGTGTTCAAATCCTATTTCATTACACTGTCAAATATTTTAACGATTTTTAAGATTGCGTCGAAACATTGAATTTTTTCTTCGAAATGGATAATGTTACGGATTTTTCCTAATAATTTTTTGAAGATCTCTAATGTTACGCTGATTAAATATTTGAAAAAAAAAAACACAAACAAGTTACAATCAATTTTGTATTCAATAAGAGCCAATTTAGCCTCTTTGGGGCTTTAGAATATCGATGATTTTTCATTTGCGGATGTAGTTTGTTACCAATAATATGTGTACCAAATTTGATAGTAATCGCTTGATCGAACGAGACATTATGGCAAACATTGATTTAAAAAAAATTACATTGAGGTTATGTAACTTTTTAAATTTTTTGCATTTTATTCAGAATCACCCTATATATGATTGTTCCGTGGATATTCCGGAGTTAATGGACGTCCAAAAGTTAATTTTGAAACAGATACAGATTACAATTTTAATTTTTAAGATATTGGATCTGAAAACGGACACAAAGGTTTTTTGGGCGATAAACAATAATATCTAGTAGTTAAGAAATCTCTAATTTTTAGGTATTCAATCAAAAACGATCTTACAATTAGTCCGTCAATTTTCAAATAAGTGTCCTTACATTGCCAGTTACATAAAATAATTGAGACAATTAGTCCGTCAATTTTCAAATAAGTGTCCTTACATTGCCAGTTACGTAAAATAATTGAGATAACACCCTACTTCTCAGTTTTCAAACTAACAACATTTTCGAGTAAAAATTGTTGTACTCAGGATACAGGATGAAGATGTACTCTGTGCACATTGAATGCAAAAGTGCAGATAGATCAAAAACACTGTTAACGCAAGATTTTAACTAATGATGTTGTGGTAACGACTATAATGTTAAAAAGTTCATGTGGCCTACACTAATCAGGCATTCATAGTATCTACAATTAGTAGGTCTCTTTGCTAGTAGGTACAAATGCCAGTAGGCATTGAGCAACTATGACATTTAATATAATGACATATACTGTTAGGTTATATCTCGCCCACACTTATTACATTAAGGTAAATTTGTTTAAATCTTAATACTTTGATGTCCCAAATTTACTACTTCTGGAATATCTGGACCATTTTAGGATAAGAACAAGTATTTTCCCTTTTTTTTTTGGTACAAACATCGCTCAAAGTATCCCAATGTCTCAATCAATTCTGTTTGCAGATCCCCCCGGTGGTCATAAACGACGGCGGTTACGTGGCGAGCAGCAGCGGCAAGGACGAATCGAAGCCGCCCTTCTCGTACGCGCAGCTCATAGTCCAGGCGATAGCCAGCGCGCCCGACAAGCAGCTGACCCTGTCCGGGATCTACAGTTACATAACCAAACACTATCCCTACTACCGGACGGCCGACAAGGGCTGGCAGAACTCCATTCGGCACAACCTTAGTCTCAATAGATATTTCATTAAGGTAAGTGAACGTTCACGACGATATCCTTGTGGTTTGTGTCGTGGGATAAATTTGCCGTTCTGCCATAGGTGCCCAGGAGCCAAGAGGAGCCCGGCAAGGGTTCGTTCTGGAGAATAGACCCACAGTCGGAGACCAAGTTGATCGAGCAAGCATTTAGGCGTCGGAGGCAGAGGGGAGTGTCGTGTTTCAGGGCCCCCTTCGGATTGAGCTCAAGGTGAGTTAAAAACCAACATTGGCGCTACAGGAAATGTCTTGGAATATGCGTTTTTCTTGAGAATTACTGAATTCTGTTGTTCACTTGACTGTAGGTCAAAAAAAATTTAAATGCAAGTTTACACCACCTGGTGGCGCTTTGGTAATTTTTTTCCCCCAAAAGTATATTTCCTGTTTTGATGCCTCTGGAAAGAACTTTTAGCTTTAAGGCTTTTTTCTATTTAGGGTTTTCTTTATATTTTCATGTATTTGACGTTTTCTTTTTGTGCAGTTGCTAATAATTATTGTACTCTTAACATTGTGAGGGTTGCTTTCGGTGTGCAGCAAAATAAAACTCCCTCTCAACGGTAAATAAAACTAAGAGTAGAGAAAAAGAATGTGTTGTCAGAGCTAGCGTTTGCTGAAGAGTCGTCACGTGTGGAGTCGGTCGCAGGTATAAGTATCTGGTCCTTGGCACCAATCTGCCGTGATCCTCTTCCGAGAACCATATCCCGTGTTGCACATTATTTCTTGTCGCTTGCTGGCGCTCTTGACGTACTACTTAAAATAGGTCACTTGCGGACATATGTACCCACAATTGTCTCTTTATATTCGATGTTTTCCATTTGACCATTCCAAGGTTTCTTTTATGCTGTTTGAGCATTTTTTTTTTAAATTTGTACGCTTATGACAAGCTCTGACATCTAAGCTAGAAACACATAGAGATTCCAAGTAATCAAACCACACAGACTCAGTCGACTCTTTTTTTGTACATGATAAACAAAGATAGAAATAGGCGCATGTAACACTACGTCCGAATATAAATTAGTCACTAAAATTAAAGGATAAAAAAAACTAAAATTTTTAGGCGATATTTAAAAGGTTGTAACTTGGCGAAAAACGTTTTAAATAATTAAAAAAAGAAAGCAAATTGAAGCTCAGTATCACAAAGTCACCTTTAAGAAATCATAAGAACTCCAGCAGAAAAAAAAATTCAAAACTTGTTTCCCTTTTTATTGCTGCAACGACAATTTTTCGCCAAGTTACAGCCTTTTGAAAATCATCGAAAAATTTGGTGACTAAATTTACGAGTTATTTTTAAGAAAAATTTAATATTTTTTACATTTTGTGCCCGTTTAACCGATCGTCCCTCTCTTGTAGAAGCGCCCCTGCCTCGCCATCTCACGTCAGCATGTCCGACCTGATGACGCCAGAGTCGCTCTCGAGAGAGGGCTCGCCCACGATGGAGCACATGGTCGACGTGAGCCAGTCGGCCCCGGGCAGTCCCGGCAACCCGGCTGTGGCGTACGCCGGCTCCGGCGGCATGATAGGCCACCAACAGATGTCGGCGCTGGTCGGCGCCACGAAAGCTAGGCTGCTCCTGCCTCACCCCATGGACAACATGGACCAAGTGGCCAGCTCTAACGGCCAGGAGTATAGGGAAGGTGAGTGGATTGGAGTTTCTCGTTCAAATGAAAGTATTGCGTGTATTCTTGTTATATTCTCCAGAATCTTATTCTGTGATTATGACTGTTTGAGTTAATAGCTTCTTTTTTTTTAACGGGGTGAGTAAATGTTGGTACCTTTCGGAGTTTCTCATATTTTCTAACATAGACGAAAAAAGTAGTTCAAATGTCTCGAATTTGATTTTTGATAAAATTCAGATTTTGTCTCTTCATTCAGGCATTTTTAATTATTTTATTGTTGTTCTGATATTGAATAACTGTTTTATTAGTCAACATTTTTTATTTTAATGATTTTTTTTTTAATTATAACCAAAAAATTTTTACAAATGGGATAATCTGTTTTTTGATGTTTAGGAATTTTGTGAAATTTTAATGAGTAGCTTTTTTTTAGACACTATGTAATAATTTTGACATTTGTTTCCTGATAAGAAAAGTAGTTCAAATGTCTCGGATTTGATTTTTGATAAAATTTGGATTTTGTCTCTTCATTCAGGCATTTTTAATTTTTTATTGTTTTTGTGATATTGAATAACTGTTTTATAAGTTAACATTTTTTATTTTCATGAAGATTTTTTTAATTATAATCAAAAAAAATTTTGTAAATGGGATAATCTGTTTTTTGATGTTTAGGAATTTTGTGAAATTTTAATGGGTAGCTTTTTTTAGACACTGTGCTAATTTTGACATTCATTTCCTGATAACAGGGTTCGTAGCGGCCAGGAAAACTGGGAATAGTCGGGAAATTTTAAAGATATTCATGAAAGTCAGGGAATTTGATGTTTACAACTGGAAATTTTGTGAAAACCGGCCCTGGGTTCTTGAAAGAGAAAAGTATTTGTAATTTTGAAACCTTTATAAGAGGTTCTTTGGGTATAAAAAAGATTATTGAGTCCAGTCAAGAAAGAATTTAATGCATAAACACCAATTAATTTGTATGTAAAAATGAACTACAAGTGACCTGGATTTTTTTTTATAAGTCAGGGAAGACCTGGAACAGTCAGGGAATTTTTTATTACTTTTGAACTATGAACCCTGGATAAGAAAAGTAGTTCAAATGCCTCAGCCTTAATTTTAGAGAAAATTTTGAATTTGCTATCATAATTCCAGCATTTTTTTAATGACTAACCCTTTTTTACACGATGTCACCTAAAGAAAAATAAAAGGTAGTTTAAATATTTCAGTCTTAATTTTTGAAAAAATTTTTATTTCGTTATTTTGATTTGAATATTTTTGGTCATTTTTAACTGTTAACTTTAACTGTTATTTCTTAATATTTTTTGTTTTCATAAATATTTTTTTAAATTTTTTTTGCATTTTTTTTTCTATACCGTTTTTGAATTATAACCAAAACTTATATTTTTATAATTGGAAACTTCTATACATATTTTGGAAAGTTTGGAAACTGCTAAATTTGTAGTTTTTTTTAATATTTATTAAAGTTTTATTAAACATCCATTTTTTGGACATTTGCAGCCAGTTTTAATACAATTGAGGTTCCCTCTTATTGCCTGATAAGGAAAATAATAAGTAGTTCAAATGTCTCGGTCTTAATTTTTAAGGTTTCGCTGTTTGAAATCCATCATTTTTCATATATATTTTTTGTTTTTGTGGTGTTGTAGCTTTTATTAGTGGAAACATTTTTGTGTTCCTGATTATTATTATTTTTTTTTAATGAAATCATGTGTACACAGTTTTTTTTGTATAAAATGAGGTCCAATATATTTTTTTGATGTTTAAAATCTGCTGAAATATTATGAATGTTAATAACAGTTTTTCTTTTAATTAGGAAGGCCAATATTAACCCTTTTCAGACTACTACATTTTCTAATAAGTTCAAACCTCTTAGCCTTAATTTTTGAGAGAATTTATATTTCGATATGAAATAACTGTTTTATTAGTGAATATTTTTTGTTTTTGTTTTTTTTTTCAGTTTTTTTTGTATAGAATACTCACTCTTCCTTCTACAACTTCCAGTATTACATTTTTCAATTTTATTTTTCAGATTACGAAAAAAAATTAGGAATAAGTTGCTTCGTAACTTTTTATATACCTTTGTTATAATTAACAGGTAGTGTTCTGAAATTGACAAAAATAATCTAAATTAACAAAATTTTTGCAAAAACTAAACAATATAATTCCTTTCATTGGAAATCATACTCGGTACATTTGAACTACTTTTTGTCTACTTCCTCAAAAAATATGGTAAATCCCCCAAAAGTGTCGAAATTTACCCACCTTACTCGGTACATTTGAACTACTTTTTGTCTACTTCCTCAAAAAATATGGGAACTCTCCTAAAAGTGTCGAAATTTACCCACCTGCACTTATTTAGACTGATTCGTCAATATTTCCGAAATATTTTCCAGAAAAGTACCACGTAAATTCTAACCTAGAAGAACGTTCGCTGTCACCCGCCGCTTTCTCCCCCCAACCCGTCATCGTTCAAACAGCAAACTATTCGCCATATAGGTAAGTCCCAGGAACGAATCGATTCCTGACGTTCGCTCAAGTTCCGTTTTCGTTCGCAGCAGCGGCGGTTACGCCAACGTGGGCCTGGACTTGAAGAGGCACATGGACGATCAGAGCGCGGGCAGTCCCTCCAGCACGGGCGACTTGGACAGCCTGCAGGAGCCGGACGTGAAGAGACCGCGACAGGACCAGCCCAAGTACGAGACAGAATAGACCGTGGACTAGCACGGCAGGTTTATCAAGTTTTATGCGACACATACCGACAAATAAAAATAAATCTGAATGTAAGATAGCCGCTGAAGCGAAATAAGTCCATTTAATGCCAAGGTTTGTGAAGGGGCGAGGTTCGCCTCCGAGTTGTTGGTTTTTTAACGGATTCGAAATGTTGTTTTAGGTAGTGCGTAAGTAGGGAAGGAGAATAGTTAGGAATTTTATAAAAATGAAGTGATGTGATAAGTAACGTTTTAGAATTTGACAAATTCGTATCAGATCCGAGCTCGCCGCTTGCTAGGAGTATAATAAACGCCAGTGTTGTTGAGAATGCATCCGACTTAAGGCTAAGTGTCGCCAGTTCTCGTCTTTATTTACGTTATCTTTTTTATTGTGCGAACTTAGCGGCTTTCTAGCGAAGTTAAGATCCTTAAGCGTTCCCGTAAAGAACTGCTGCTTCGTTACTTTTTTTACGATTTCTTCGCTTCAAAGTATTTGAAACATCCGCCGAGGTACCTTTTTACGACGCGGTGCATTTTGGAATTAAAAAAAAAATACGGCGAGGTTTTTAAACGATTAAATTTGTCAAGTTGTTGATATTTGAATAAATTTTTGACGCAGGAGAGTTTAGTCTATCTGTATAGCGGGAATATATTTTGTTGCCTTGAATTTACGTGTTGAATTATGTAAGAGTATATTTTAAAGGTGGTAACGATTAAAGATTACTTGGACTTATTTTTTTGCTGGTTCAAAAGCAATACAAAACTTTTTTTTTTGTTTGTGTGATAAATTATTGATTACTTGTAAATCATGGGGAGATTCTTTTTGTTTTAACGCGGCAAACGGCACCTCTAAGCTGTTTTATTTTTTTATGGTAGTTTTTTTACCATTAAGTGATTAAAAAAAAACCTTTTTTTTTAGTTGTATAGTTTTTAAGGTAGCAGCCTTATCTTTTACCTTAAATATTATGAACCACTGTAGTAATAGCAATAATTAATAATAATAATAATAAAAATAATAATAATAATAATAATAGAAGTCAAATTTTTTTATTCATTTTTATTTTCTCAAATAATTCGGTTTTATTTTGTGTCGACCTTTCTTTGATTATTTTCTTAATATTTATCAACATACAGGGTGTTTTGATTTGTAGGTTAACTTCGTAACGGAAAAAATAGACGAAAGCCAACTATTTTTTTATAAATTACCCTTAAAAACGTGCAAATTTCTTGAAAATTATAAATCCTGAGCCTGCTACGATTTTTTTTAAGCGCCAATTTTGTATTAGCAATTTTTTATTTTGAAATTGAATAACGTTATATATACATCCCTTAAAATACTCCCATACTGATTTCTATAAAACTTTATTCATTATTGAATTTTTCATACAATTTAAAACGTGATAATTTCTGTTGTACTTTTATATCAGTTAGTGCATTCTTTGTTTTTATTCATTTTATTTTTTTATGAACGGATGTCGAAGAAAGGGCAAAATTATACTTTTTTACAAAATTAATTTATAATAATTGAATAAAAGATTGTTATCGGTCAAAATTGAACAAAAATTGGACCAAAAAAATCATAGCCGGCTTAGGATTTGAGATTTTAAGGAAGTAATAGTCTTAAAATGATTGTGCAGATCCTCAGAGCTATTTAAACAATAAAGTTGACCCTCATTTGTTTTTACTTACTACGTTAACAGCTGGTCCATTTTTCTGACCGAAGGGAATACGAGTATACTCGTAAGGTGTAAGTTTCTGAAACTATCATTAAAAAAAAATTGCACCAAAAAATCATAGCCGGCTTAGGATTTGAGATTTTAAAGAATTAATAGTGTTAAAATGTGTAGATTCACAGAGCTTATTTAATACAATATAATTGATTCTCATTTGTTTTTACTTGCTACGTTAACAGCTGGTTCATTTTTCTGGCCGAAAGGAATACGAGTATACTCGTAAGGTGTAACTTTCCGAAACTATCACATTAACTGTTGCAAAATATAACTTCTAGAAGCATTTTTTCCCTAATATTGCTTTTATTATATTTACACGAAATAGTATGGTTTTGTACCTCAAAATCTCCACTATTTTCAATGATTTCTTCAGCTGTTTTTTTTAAGAGGGCTCTATAGCAAATAGGCAACCAGCAATAGATTTTATTACACATTTTGTCTAAATATGAATTAATGCAGAAATAGTAGACTTTCCCCCATTTTAACGAAGATTTTCTATAAAATGGACTAAATTTGAAACTCATATCACTTTTTGGTGTAAAGAAATTTGTAATTTACTTGTTCAAAAGCGCCAAATTACAAATTTCTTTACTACAAAAAGTAATTTGAGTTTCAAATTAACCCCATTTTATAGAAAATCTGTGTTAGAATGAAGGAAAGTCTGTTATTTTTGTATTAAATCATATTTAGACGAACTGTGTAATAAAATCTATAAAAATGTATTGCTGGTTGCCTATTTGCTATAAAGTATATTCTAAAAATTGGTTAGGGTATTAAAGATTAAAGTCAATGTCAATATACTAGCAGTTTTGGAACACCCCAAAAGACAGTGGTACATTTCTATTATCATGTTTAAAGTGTGACACGTTTTTCTAAAGCATTATTTTAGAGGTGCCTTTTGCTGGAACGGCACATACAGGGTGTTCAACAATTATTTTAGCGCTGATTCATAAGTGCCCATTAATTTGTATTCTATTATGATGCCATGTGAGCAAACTATACGAAATATTAAAAGGAATTCGTGGAATAAGTGATTTTTTCTATTAAGTATGTCGTGATTGTGATGCTTCAAAAAATGAACGCCCTGTGTGTGTGTCGATCGATTTAACAATCATTTTTAAGTTTTTGTTGCCCAGTTGTACATTTCCCATTTGTAAATATTGTAAGAAAAAACCTGTTTGTTATTTTGTGTAGTGTTTAAGTAGCCATACATTGGGATATATTTTTTTAACTGTTCCTCAACCTCGTATGTGATCTGTTTTCGTACTATAATATATAAATAATAAAACTTGATAACACCCACTTGGACGTAAATAAATTTGGGTTATTTAAAATGAATCTTTCTTTAGATCGCCCGTCGCGCCGCCCCGTCTTGTTTTTTTTTCTTTCTCTTTTTCTTTTTTAAGAAAAATCTGACGTGCCGTTGGAGCATTTTTGTGGACGATTATCGCGAGGTAGCGGGACTACGCGTGGTAATCGTTTACGATTTTATATTTTTGACTATTTCAATGGTCCTTATTATTGTTAGTTATTATACATGTATACAAAATATATTGTAGGTATTTAAATAAAGTACTATATTGCTGTGAACTAGTTGTTTCTGAATAAATCGAGCTTTTTTGAAATTCACACGGCGTATGATTGCATCGACCTTAAGACTGTGCCAACGGCAAAGGTAAGTATAATGTAATAGTCGTCGTTTTCAATGTAACTTTTTGTTTTTGGTTGCTGCTAAGAATTTTATGAATTTTGGACGTCTACTAGTTGCTATCCAAGGTTGTCGTTTTGTTAAAATTTTCGGATGTCCGCCAATTGTTATCAAAGGTTTTCCGTTATTTGCAATTTTTGAACATAAATATTGTTTTCAAGGTAAAAATCGATGCTCGAGATATAGAAGGTGTTGCGATTTACAAGTATATAGACCATTAACACAGTTTTGTACCAAAATTCAAAATATAACAGTTTCTGATATACAGGGTGTCAATGAAATTCCTGCCAAACTTTAATGTTGTGGGTACTACATCACAAATCAAAAAAGTTTCTATAACCGGAAATACTTCATTTTCGAGATATAGGTATCGGGTGTCGAAATTAAAAAATATTTAAATATTTCTTGATACTTGACGTAGATTTACTTTGCAATGAATGAAAATTTAAAAAAAATGGTCTCAAGCAGAAGGTGAAATATTCTGAGGATATTCTGTTGTAGATTTTTGATGTGCTCGGTCTGGGCACTGTGGGGGCTAATCTGCTATCAGATTACCTAGGCCCATCCTGATATTAATTTCCGTTCTCTTTGTTGGTTCTAAGCCCACTACGGGCGGAACTGCTCCTCCAACCTTGCTCTTTTGAGACATTCCATAGTGGCAGGTATAACTGAACGTTTTGCTGTCTTCATTTGTGACTTTTGAATATTGCACAGTCCCAACGAAGCTTTTGCTGCCACTATCGAAGAACAGCGTATTTTTTGAGAGTATTGGCGGATGAAACTACTACAGAATATGTTAGAGGAACATTGTTCTGGGAACGATTCGATTCTGTCTGCAACAGCTTTAAGAACCAAAATGAACATCGGAGCGGGTTTAGAGGTTTTGATAGCGGATTAGCTCCCCACAGAGTCTAGTCCGAGAACAACAAGGGCAGATCAAAGATTCCTAACTGAGGCTAAGGAAGTGCATTGGCTGGGGACCATAAGCCATGACATAACAAAGCGAAGAGCCACGGTATTTTAAGTAATGGATAGAATTATAAAAGGTTTAAGACTACTACAGAACATAAGTTCAGTTCAGCATCTCTGTCACCTAGAGGCACTAGATTCATATGAGCTTATATAAGCCACTAAGCATATTTGTACTAGGTTATAAGCTGCACAACAGAAGCTAGCCTCGAGATTTCTAAACAGATATAAAACTGGCTAGTCTCACAATCAGTCCTCGTCATTTTGGATGCTATTGCTTTTAGATTTACTATAACAAATCCTCATAAAGTGGTGACATCGCTAACACTAATACTGACGAAGTAGGGGCATATACTGACTGCCGTTTTTCTTAGTGATGGGAGATTTCAAGTGAAAAATCGAGTGGTACTCGATTATTGAGATCACTCGAGATATCTCGAGATGTTTACTCCCACCACTCGAGTGATTATTACCCTACGGTTGCACCACAAAATGTTAGTGCATACTGCAAATAGTCAGTGATTGGGTAACCTTTTTTTTAGAATAAAACGAAAAAGTGGTTAGGTTTTGAAGTGCGTGAGCTTTTTTTTTTTTAGTTACGCTTATAAGTAATATGAGAATATACTAACTGCCGTTTTTCTAATAATTGCTATATTTACAGAGAGCAGGACATACTGACTGCTGATTTTCTAATAATTGCTACATTTACGGAGGTCAGGACATATCATTTACAGTCATAGAAAAGTATAACAAAATACCCGATACTTCACACCATTCAAAATTACCGCGATTTTTGTATCTCGGTGCGTTCAGGATGTAATATCGGACGTTAATCGTAGTATGTCTGTCTCTTTCTAATATATGTTTTAGAAAGAGTCAGTAATAACCGGCAACACCTGCCTGACGCTTCATTTGAATGTGTCCCTCTATAGTGAGACTGAGGTACCTACTACCTAATGTCGAATAGAAATAGTGTATAAAGAACTATGAGAATCAAATTATGTATGAGGTATATTATTTTCATGTAGGAAATGTACCTAGTTTTCAAGTAAAAATGTACTGTAAATTGTTCAAGGGAGGCTGGCGGGTGGCTTTGTGGTTTTTCGTTTACTTTGCAAGTCGCGTAGATTCGTGTCGTGTCGTGCCGTTTTAGACAAGTAAAGTGCAGTGAGAGTATTATAAGTACAAAATTATGGTACTGGTACTTATCTAGTTCTAGTCATTTCAATCAAAATCTAGTATCTAATTTGTATTTAATACTGACTAGTGAGTCTAATAGTAGATAGTGTAGTGAAAAGTGAGGTTATAAATGTGGAGAAGCTACAAGCAATTAGGCATTCCAACCTCCTGTCAAAAAATTCCAATATGGCCGGCGATTGGCACACAAACAATCTGAATAACATTAACTTGAGAAGAAATATCGATTTTTCTTCATTTTTCGTGGTTTCATTTAAGTAAATTTACTATTTGGAGTTGAGTGAAGTCATTACATACGTTAATCAACAGTTTAAACAAACCGTTAGGTACCCTACAGGTAAAAACAATCCACTTTTATAACAGTACATTTCTAACCTTTGTTTTACATGATTTTTACAATTATTATTTAATTTTTACAATGCCCTTAACTTGCATTGTGGTCAGTTGTGGAAGCAGAGCCGATAGAGACCAAGTATCGTTTTTTGCTGTTCCCAAAATTAGTAATTTTAAACATGCAACCCACCTTAATGAATTATCCAGTCAGAGAAGGCCAGAATGGATAAATGCAATCAAAAGAGTAAATCTAACTGAAAGAGTTCTAAAGTATGAAAAAGTGTGCAGTAGGCATTTCATTAGTGGTAAGGGCTGAATTTTTTTTTCAAATTTCATTGTCATTTTTTTATAGGAAAACCAGCAGATTTGCAGGACCTTAACAATCCTGATTGGGTGCCAACCCAAAATATGGGCTATACTGCAGGGCATCGTTTAAAAAGGAAAAGCGATTTAAAAAGAGTGGAAAGGGTACAAAAAAGAAGAAAGAAATTAGATACCCAAAAGGTTGAAATTCATGCTGAGGATTCTGATCTCGCCTCTGAGGTTTACTAGCTCTTCCAAGGATTTTATTTCATTTTCTTTATTATATATATCAAAGAAAAATGGTAACATTAATTTTGATGTTGTCGATATCTCCTCAGCAAATGGAGAAACAATTCTCATTAAAGGGGTTTGACAACCCTCTTTTTGAATCCTTCTTAAAAAGGACTCAATGCCTCGTTCATCCAAAGTTGGAACATCAATATAATTTTTTTGCTCACTGGTTTTGCCCCAATCCATTAATTTTACTGGTGTTGGATCCACACCGCGTTGTGATGGTACTGGCCAAGTTGATTTCTTGTCTGTGCAAGTCATTGTCTGATTAAGGTTAGCAGCATATTCGGTGGCATACAATACAGCTGCAATGTGACTGCAAACCTCTCCAAGCCCTGCCATGCACGTACAATGTGCAGTGCAAATCCCACCATGTCTCTCTGCTATAACCCAAACTCTTAGCTTTGGTTCTCTGGCCTTCATGGAGTGTTGAACCTGAAACAAAAATTGTCTTATATAATTTACCTATTTGACTAGTACCTAATAAGTTAATAAAAACATTTGCATTTTACATATTAGTTAAATAATTATTTTTTAGTTATTTTTTATTTTAAGATTATTTTATGACAAATTTTAAACCTATATGGTAAATGTTTATTAAATGTATGTAAAATAATGGAACAAATAAAGACTTAGACTTAATAAAATGCAACACTTACTTTGCCAACTAACAGCACATAATCGTTAATTGGTTTGATGCCAACTTTATCCACAAAGCCTGCAGCGAAATATTTGTAGGCCTGAAGACTTTTGTAAGCTTTCATCTGCTCTCTGCTGTAATAGCTATGAGTGAGAACCAAGTAGCTTACTATATCCATGTTAGAAATAGGTGGCATAGATTCAATTTCATGGTTAAAATCAGCTTCTTGAAGAGAGTAAGGATCCACATTTATCTGCCTTGTTTTCTCCAAGTATCTAACACCAGCTTCCTTGCAAGTTTTTTCTAGTTGAAGCAAGTACAAGTACATGCTTTTAACATAATTTGCCATCTTTAGATGTTACTATTAGTCAGAATTTACAAAACAAGAACGAAAGGGCACAAACAAAACCACACACTACTATCACGTTCTACGAGCGAAATAAATAAATTTCTTACATTTGTAGGGTAGTACAGGCCAATATTAATGTTATTCAGGTCAAAAAGGGTTGTTTTATTGCTCAGGTAGACACAAATGGCCGCAGGTAACGAATTTTACGGAAATTCAGATCTATTTCCATATAAACATACACTGTTTATATCGTTTGTATGCCAATCGCCGGCCATATTGAATGTCAAAATATCACGTGATTTGGAATGCCTAATTAAAATGGAGAAGATAGAAGATATTTGTGGAATGGAATTAAAGTCAATTATCTGCTGCAATAAGTTATCTATTTAGCTTTAGTGGAAAAAATTCTGCAAAGAATGTACATTCACCGTTAGAAGGTGCCTCTTCTACTAAAACATCGACTTAATTGTTTAAGTAAAATAATTTGTATTAAGTTTGGCATATGATATTTTAACACTGATAAGAAAATTTGCTATTATAGTTCAGATTTTAGTACAAATTGTCTGTGGTAAAACTTTCGTATTGGTGTATTTAAATAGGCGAATCGTATTTTTGAAGTGGAATAGAAAATGTTGGGCATTTTAAAGAATTTAAAAGTGTATGTTTTTACTGTATGATCATTTCAGTGTTATTTGTTAATATGCTTCGTTTATTTCTGTTTTTGTTTTGTATTTTATTTTTAAAGAATGCGATATATTATTATTTATGGAATTTTCTGAAGTTTATTGAAAATAGTGTATTTTGTTATATTTTTAGAAAATGCATTGTAATAATTTTTTGTAAGCGAAATTTTTTAGCATCCATACTTCAAACTTTTAGAAGAATTAAGCATTTTAGGTACTTTTGTTATTGGTTTTATTACCATTTTTTAAATAAAAAAAAACGTTTGTTATAGTAAATTTAGATATATTTTAAGCACATATACAACTAGTTAACAAGTACATAAATATAAAAAAACAAAAAATTTACAAAGCATGCGGCCCACGCTTTGTGGAAAATCATAAGTCTTTCAATTCTAAGCCTAAAAAATACCGCACTTACATTACAAAATCAGTAAAAAAATACTACATCTGTTTTGTACCCTCTAGATTTAGAGTTAAAGCTACGCTTAGCAAAGTCCTCAGGCGTTCAACTTGGGCAAAACCGAACTAAATCATTGGTAGACGGGTCTCAACTCGTATTCGATGCCGGTTTTCCTGTCCAAGAACGTTCCTTTGTCGGATTCAAAGACCAAATCTTCCTCGTTGATGACGTGTTCTCTCTTCCCTCTGTAATCGTCGGCCCTCCTATAATTTCCCCCGTGTTGCTGGGAGTTACCGTCCAGGATCAACGACCTAGCGTTGTCGTTGATGAACTCCACGTCCTTCAAGAGTCCCTGCTCCCTTTTTCCTCTGTGGTTGTTCGCTCGGACGTAAGTAGGGGCTACGACGGATTCCTGCCTTTCTTGTCCGTAAGTGATGTAGTTTGGTTGATTTATTTCTGGTTCCCGGACTTCATAATGGGGCTTCTTTTTGGTTGGTTTGGCTTCGACTTTTTCTTGTTGGCCGTCGTGGTTGTAGTCGTAGTAGTGTTCGCCGTATCCCCCGTTTTTGTCGCCCCATCTCACCTGAGACAACAAATATTAGTAATTTTTAATTTTGGACCGGATCCATCGTTCAAGAAATTGGTACAAGTAAAACAGATTTTGATTTCTAGCTTCAGTAAATCGGCCAAGAAATTGGAAACAATAAAACTGGTTCTATGATGGGCCTTCTCAGTGATTAAAAAAATAGTCTTGCACAGAGCACACTGAAGTACTTGTATAACATTTCTTGTTTTAGTTTTACCAAAAATTTGTTTGTCTCGAGAATATTTCGTCCAATCTTTGTCAACAGATAAGGTTTGCTCACATTAAACATGTTTTTAATTATACTTTTCCATTATTGAATTCATAAACAACTAGAAATCTGTCTACAAGTGTATGCCCGGGCACAACAACATTGTCCTAAAAATTTGCAGATTTTTTTTCTAAAATTAATATACAAAACAATTTCTTGAACGATTTTTCTGGAAAAAAGGTTTATTTGAGAAAATAGCTCTAAAATTCTAGGAACATTTAAACTAAAAACGCTAAATCTAAAGAACTACTACCCTGAACCCTGATGTGTGATTATTAACGAACATATTTATAATTTACTCCCAAAACTTAAGGATACCTCTCAACAATGTTATAGAAGCAATTAGAAATTACATAAAGCATTAGTTTCGTGCAAACAGCAAAAAAAAAGTAAGTGCAATTATTGGCTCCAACAAACTTCTGACCCGCAGCTAACGCTAGCGATTTTTTTCAAGGGTCAACAAACCAGGCACCTGAATTGGTTAATGCTCGTTAAAAAAGCAATGTAATATTGCAACATTGCCACGAGAAAAAAAAAGGTGATATAAACAATAATTAAAATTTGAATTTATCCACTTTCACTATTCCGCTAATTATTGATACTTTCGGCTTAAGTGAGTTCCAGTTATGTAGATATAAAAACATGTTAAAAAGTTTAAATAAATGTCCAGCCAAAGAATATGCGAATATAATAAGGTATAATCGATTCACGACAGATTTGCCTGCCATGTATTTTGAAACTTTTAAGGGGTGAGACAAGTAACAAGCAGAACGAGCACAAGGTTGAACAAAAATTTTACAAATTCATTGGTATTTCCTGATTCATTTACAGTTTATTGTATAAAAATTTTTTCGAGGTTAAAAGTTAACATAGGATTGTTTTTGCACGGGAAACAATGTGAATTGGTAATTTTTATAACAGACAATAAACTATTAGGATTGCAACAGAATAAATAACATTATAAATTATATAATTCGAGTTATTAATTGCAATTTTACTTGCATTTTTATGTGACCAGCAACACAAAAGAAATTTGTTTTTTTATTATACTTCTTTGAAAACAATTTATTTCCATCTGTATTATTAATAATAACGAAAGATGGGTTTTTCGGGCTAGTGCACGGAAAAAGTTTTCCCGATCTCCCATTCTTTCCGTGCGCTGAATAAAAATACCGAATATACGGCTTTAAAATAAAAATATACAGCAAAGTAAACTAAACTTAAGAAAGTCTATATGCTCTCTGATATTTAACATGTACCTATTTTGTAATTTAATTATTCGTACATGTTTGAATATTTTGATACATTTCTGTAATATTTTTTGACGTTTTGTCCGCCGTATCTGATAGACTAATTTAAAACAAATCACCTTTGAAATAATTGAGAGTAACCATGGAAACGCATCATACATGTCAAATACTGTATTGTCAGCTTATACAGGGTGATTCATTAACAATGGGAAAATCGAAAGCTGAAGATACTACACGTGAAATGGTGACCAGTGGCGGAAATACAGGGAAAGTTAAAATTTTAAATCGTTTTTTTGCGATTATTCTGAAAATATGTAGGTTAGGAACTTGAAAATTTGTGAAACTATATTTTTTTAGGCGACGAATAAGATGCGTGCTGTAATTTCAGCATTGCTCGTAGAGGGCCCCCCTTAACGACCAATTTTACCGAAAATTTAGTTAATAACTTTTTACCCTGGATGTCTAACATGAAACTTGATTCAAAACCTGAAAGAGCAATCATTTTTCCAATCTGTCAGAAGGATTTATAGAAGAATCCATACAAAGAAAAATTGGGGTATCACGAAAACTTTTAACCCTTCTCACTCGCAAAATAGAACAACTGTATCATTCGTTCGAGAAAATCAACATTTTCAAAGAATCTGCTTCAATAACTGCAGATTCACTAAATGAAACTCCAAAAGTACTAAACCCGTGCAATAAGTCGAATTGCACAATAAACACAACCATTACCAGTTAAAACTAAAAACATTATTAGTTGGAGATGTTATCATTAATTAGTTAGTTACTTACAAGTTAGCTTACTCTACAAGTTTTTTTATTCCTGTAACTGCTATGAAAATAAAAATGTCCCAAGTTTCTTCCGTATGTTTTTTAAGTTATATTTTGTTATTATATTTTCGTTTTCAAAGAAGTATAATAAGAAATATCGTTCATTACCCGTCCAGAAGTAGATTTTTTCGGCAACCGTCCGGGAAGTGGCTAATTCCCGGACGCTTTTTCTTTGAGAAAGTAGCATTTTTTCGGCCTAGTCCGGGAAGTACGCACTTCCCGGACTAGGCCGGGAAGAATCACATCGTTGTTGTCATTGTGAATATGAAAATCTTGGAAGGTATGATTTTGATAAATGCAGTTGAACATTACCATAGCAACGAAATAACGACTGACAGCTATCTGAAGTGAAATTAGTTGACATTTTAATTTTCGAAAGTTTGCATGGTTTTTGGTCGCAATTGTCGCAATAAACTATGGAAAGCAACAGCGATAGTGAGTTTGAAAATGTGCCTTACGAAATTTCCAATGCAGCAGCTGCTGCTACAGCACAATTATTGCCTGAAAAATCAAAGTCCAGGTACGAAAACGTTTATGATTTGTTCACGAGATGGATGGATATGAAGAAATGCAAAACTATTACAGAGGATGTAATTTTAGCTTACTTGGCGCAAAAATCTGAAACTGTCAAATCCTCTACCCTGTGGAGCATGTACTCTATGTTGAAAAGTACCATTTTAGTGAAGAAAAATGTAAACATAGCCACTTTCCCAAAGGTAATCGCATTTCTTAAAAGGAAGAATGTTGGTTATAAAGCAAAGAAATCAGAAGTCTTCAGCAGCGAGCAAATCAACAAATTCATTAGAGAAGCAGATAATGAAACATATCTAATGCTAAAGGTAATTTTAACAAAATATTACGATTGTAGGATATAAAAGTATCAACTTAATTTGCTTCATTTTCAGGTAGCAACAATTATTGGGTTAGCCGGTGCGTGTAGACGGGAAGAACTAACAAAAATGTCAATTGATCTAATAAACGACAAAGAAGATATGTTGCTCGTGAAAATACCAGATTCTAAAACACATATTGAGAGAAATTTTGTTGTAATTGGGCAAGAAAACCTGCTGTTGTATAGGCAATATTTATCTTTACGGCCATCCCATACTCCACATAACAGATTATTCGTGAATTACAAAAAAGGAAAATGTTCGATTCAGCCCGTTGGTATCCACAGTTTTGGGAATCTCGGATTAAGAATTGCAGAATTTTTAAATTTACCCAATCCTAAAAATTACACAGGCCATAGCATGCGTCGAACTTCAGCGACGATATTTGCTGATAATGGTGGAAACATCACAAATTTGAAGAGACACGGTGGCTGGAAGTCTACCAATGTCGCTGAAGGATATATAGACAATTCACTAACAAACAAAATTAAAATTGCCAAGACCATTCAAAAATTATCAGATGAAAACAATCAATATGAAACGGAAACTTTACCTTCTTGTTCTGACTACAAAAGGCATTTAAATATACCAAGCATTTCAAACAAATTAAACCCTTTCAATATTAGCAATTGCTCAAATTTTACTATAAATCTTAATATAAATAAGAATTAGAATGTTTCTGTTAGTACCTATCTTCTGTTCGAATTTCAATATTTAATACAAATAAGAATTAAAATGTTCGAAATTTTGTTCTACAAAAAAATATAATAAAGAAATGTGTCTCATTAATTTGTTATTCTACATGGTTGCCGAAAAAATAGTGTACGCAACACGTCCGAAAACAGTTTTTTTGAACTCGCAGACTTCCAGGACTCGCCTACGGCTCGTCCTAGAATTTTGTCAACTCGTCCAAAAAAACAGTATTTTCCGGACTTGTTACGCAAATAACTAGTTCCAGACTCCTAATGAAATACTATTGCATATGAGCCTAGAAACAACTTCAAAAACGGATCGCAGTTGCAGAGGATGTACGAGTATTCAGTTGTTTCGGCCAAACAACTGTGAATAATCCATTAGAGCAACCCGAAAACAATACCATTAGTTCCAAATTGATCGGATGTTAAAAACAATCCCTGTAGCCTTGCGTACGCCGTATTTCGATTTATAAAAACGGCATTGATTGTCTATTGTTCGGTTAGTGCCGAACTGTAAAAATTAAATGCCGCCACTAATTGGTGGGATTAGTGGCAAGCATTTATCGAATTGGAATCGAGGGTGCCTGTAATTTACTACGGTTGTAACGGAAATGTGTGAATCGAATAAAAAATGTGCTAGTAAGATGTAGAATAAAAAAAATGTTACTTTGCTTGCTAACTCCTCTTCATGAGGGTGATCCTCCAGGTACTCGCCTCTTTCGTATCCGCTTTCGTAATGGTTTTCGGCTGGATCATGACTGTTAGTAGGGGAGAAAAGAAAACACGTATTAGCTCATGTTAGACAAGCGGAAAGCTATATATTAGGTAATTAGTGGACCGGTTAACAAACTCTGTTGCCTTTACGCTCTGTTGGCACTGATTTAGTGTTTGGTAAATGAAAACGGTGTGACGGCCCATCATTAGTCAAGTGAAACTCGACAGATCATTTGTTCTTTTGTTATGGAATAAGACATCTGATATATTGATTCAAAACCGGAAGCAAATATGGGCAATCTGACAATAATCTTGTGTTATTGTCTAAAGTTTGCTTCCTATATGTAATAGTGGTTTTTTTAGTTAAATTATTAGCATACTTCAACAAAATTTATAAAAATATCACTTAACACTGCTGATAATGATGACCCCATTGCCATTACAAGGATTCTATTTCAAAAATAAGTCACTGTCTACTATTTTGGACATGTAGTCATATTTCCTTTCGTAAAGGCGAGACATTCTAGTTGTTAGCCAGCCAAGCAAATTTCATACTGAAAGTATGCAAAACCCATACTCTCACACCTACTGCTATATAAAAAAAGAACAAAGTAAACTCTCAGCAATCCAAAGCGAGTCGGAAGCACCACTGGAGGGCCTAAGGCTAAAGCTACAATCGAAAACGTTAAGTAATTAATTCAAGACACCTTTCCCTGACGCTGAAGGTTGCCCAGGTTGATTTTCTCGAAACGTTGCTCCCAGTTGTCGGAATTCTCCGCAACGTGGCCAAATTCGACTTCGTCGGGCTTCTCCATCGCTACGTATATGTCCCTGTGTAGGGAAAGAAGGTGAGTATAATGCGTTCGCGATGTGGTTAGGCGCTAGTTGGTCTTGGATACGATTTATATTTAGTACATATGTTATTTTGGATGATAAAAAATACAGTGAAATAGGATTTGGACTTCATAGAAGGTAAAATATCGAAATTAAAGTACCTGAGAGGTTTCAACTAAAAAAAAATATTTTTGACATTGAAATGAATCTCAAATTCGAACAGATCATTTTCGAACCCAACTTTTGTTCTCCTTGAGTTTATTTTATCGATCTTTTTAGTAGTAACGTCACATTCGAAGTAAACAATCTCGTAGTACACTTCGATATGGACAATTTCTCGGTATTCAACCTACTTACTTTAAATATATGCTAAAAAGATATATTTTTCGTCATGACGTGATATTATGGCAACAATGGAAAAATTTAAGGATTTAATACATATAACCTTGCTGGTTTATGGATTTTGTCAAGGCAATGGTCGCGAAAGTGTCAGATTCTACTCAAAAAGTTATCTTAATCGCCAGGCGCATAACCGTTGTGTGATTATAGTATAGTGCACCTATGCGCATGTGATGACGTCACTTGAGAGAAAGACGGACTAGATCCTGGCATATTATATCGGCATGAAAATGCAACTTCTGTCGTTTTTCTAATAATTCTAACGAATCGTTTTTCATATTTTTTTAAATTAAAGCTTATTTGATGCATATTTAGGGAAAATTATTGCGAATGTCATCATCCCCTATTTTGAGGGTGGAAATGATGGGTGAATAGGTGAAAAAAGTGAAAATCGATTTTCTTCGTTTTTTTTTTATATTTGTCGTTCATAAAGTAATTTATGAGAAACCACGTTTTCTTTTTAATTATTGAGTTAAAGAATGTATTTTTATTTATTATTATAAAATTGTTTATGAATAATTATATTTGATATACTGTCAAATATATCATTCAAAATGTTTTTTTTTTCAGCAAACGAAAAAAACCCTCGTATATTAACTCGTCTATTTCTAGTACTTTTCCATTTTTTAACCCTCAACCTTAATTTGCACCCTTAATGAGGACGTGATGAAAAATCTCCAGACAGTAAGAGGGGATTAAAAACAGTGATCATATTTATATTCATCGAACCCCTTCCAATGACAGATTTTTTATTTCTGCCAAGTGATGAAAATCTCTCCACCCCTTATTCCTACCCTTAAAGCACGGACTAATAAAAAGCTACCCTTAAAGTTTGACGATGAAAAACTTTTACGTATCTAGGGACCACAAAAACCGTCAACAAATACCTTCTTTGACTTTTTACATTCCACCCCTAACCCCAAACTGCCATTTCCTTTAAGTAAGGGATAATAAAAAATCACCCTGAAATTTACAGATGATAAGAAAATGGTCTACCATGTTATTTAAAATCAGAGAATTGGAAGACTGGTAATATTTCAGGTGAATTTTATTATTCAATCCCCCACCCCTCAGTTCTTCCCCTAAATCAGGGGATGATAAAAACAGCTCATGAAAAGGAATTTTTTGTTTTAGTGTTGCTTTTATTCGTGTTCAGCGACAACAAAAACCTTTTATGTATTTATGTAAACCCTAAAATGAGTACTAGAATCCTATAATGTGTATGATCCAGAAATAAGTAGCCTCGCAACAGGTATCACTCAAGAAAAGTGTGGTTATGGCCGGCGTGAGCTTAAATATTGTTAACGGCTTTTGGGGATTTATTCATACTTTACGAAAAAGACAAAATGAAAATGGTCTGTCCAAAACTTTTCACATCTCTTCTAATTTCTATATCACGACTAGCATTTGTTGAAATTTTACATGAAAGTAATTATTTCTGTGAATAAATAGGAATATTTTTAGCAAAAATGTTACTCTTGTTTGTTTTTGTTTCTTTTGATAAAAGGGATCCGCTTTCAAAGTTGATCACAACATACTGTTACTTACCCCATTAGTATTGTAATAATTTATTTTAAATATTAAAAAGAATCACATTCTGGATAAAAAAATTACTAATCCAACTAGCGTCTAAATTTTTGTTAATACAGCATGACCCATGTTCATAGCTCTGATAATCATTGTAATAAAAAAATGCATCTAATCAATTTCTTTACATTCTAAAATTTCTGTCAAGTATATAGGGTGTTCCATTTATTCCGGACTGTCTGGTGTCTGGTGCAAGTTTTATTACAAACATTTTTTTGTATTATTCGTATTACCAGAGTTATGGAAGAAACCGTTTTAAATGGAACACCCTGTATGTATAATTTAATTACAAATATGACTGAAGTCATCATGTAGATCTTAACTTTTAAGTGTTTAAATTTCGTAAATTTTATTTCTGACGAAAATTGAAGAATGACTTACTGGAAAAATTTGCTGCCAGCTTGTATGGCGGCATGTGGATTTTCATATCTGCTCTCTGAGGGCTGAAGATCTCTTAATTCAGGGTTGATGATCTGTTCGTAAGGCTTGAATTCCACCGGTTGAGCTTCCAGGTAGCTCAAACAAGTCAGTGCTAACACCGTAAGCTGAAAAAAAAATTGAAATTGAGATAACTGTTACGTTTGGATAAATCAGACGTCCAAAAATGGATTTTAGATGAAAATGGGCATGACGATGATGATGATTCCTAGTGTCTAAAAATCGGATTTAAAAAAGTTGTAGATTATAGAATATAATTGCTCTAATAAAGACAAAAAGTATGTATGGTTGTAAATTCAAACAGAATAACACTAATTATTATTTTGAAAAAAGTAGGACTATCCTAAAATAATATACGCTACTGGAAAAAATTAAAGGATCAAAAAATGTTCATTAATTATTTAGTGATGTTCGAAAGGCTGTATTTCAGTGAAAAATGGTCGTATAGAGATAAATAAAAAAGCATTTTGAAGCTTTAAGTCTCTTGATTCAAGATCTTTCGACGAAAAATGATCTTGAGCTACGGTTATTGAGCAATAGAAATATTTCCAGAAAAAAAATTACAATTTTTTATTTTAGGACTGTCCATGGAATTTTTCAAACTCAATCAATACAGGGGTCAGTTAGCTCATTTATTCAGCTTCAATTTGATTTTCGAAAGGTGTCCGTGTGATTATTGGTTGTCGACATATCGACAGTTGAATTAAAAGTAACACTTTTGTTTTTAATCATGGATATCTTTGCAACAAATTCTTGCACAGTGAATCCAAGGGCAGTTTTGAAAACATGAATAAATTTTCTACAAGGACCTGTTATTGTTTTTGAAGAAAAACATTTTTTCATCCCTGACATCGATTTGAAAAAAGTGAAAAAAAAAGCCTTCACAGTTTTTTAGCAAATTTCCCGCTAATTTATAAATATTTATGAAAAGACTAATTTTGAGAGAAAAAAAATTCTAATTTCTTTGCTCATGGATAGTCCTAAAAAATGTTTGTAAAATTTTTTATGCGAGGTATTAGGTACCTATTTCATTTGATTCCTCGATAATCACAGCTCAAATGATTTTTTTGGTTTAAAGATCTTGAAACTAGAGACTTAAAGCTTCAATATATATTTTTTTTATCTCGATACTACCAATTTTCACTGATTTTCAAAAATTACTAAAACAAACAAAAATATTGTATTCCTTTAATTTTTAATTTTAATATACCATATCAGTCATACATTATCAGTATAGGTATAGTCTTCAGTTACAACCAGTAACAAGTGAGTTTTGAAAATTCATACAAAATAAAAAAATGTCGAGGATTCCTGTTAAACCTTTTGATCATGTGTATTAATAATAACTTTGACAAAAAATCATATCTCTCAAGAGCGCAATATTATCTATAGATGATTTGAAAAATAACCAACTGTTATTTAGTGAAAGATTGAGAATGTATTTTCGAATTTCAGTTGCTCTCTTTTGAAATCTGGTGCTCCATCATTAGTAAGCGATTCTTGTGCTATCACAATATTAAATAATTTTACTAAAGTTGTGGAGAAACCAGTGTGTAACCTAATCTATCCAAATGCGTATAATCAATAATCATATAGGTAGATCATAACACCATGATTCATAAATTAAGAATAATTGGTTTCAGCCTACCGCTTTTGAATTTGTGCGTATCATCCCTTTCTAAAAGGGTGCAATGTATGATTTTTTAGGTACTTCTGGTGTACCCCAAAGATCAAATTTGGGCCCGCTATCATTTTGAATGTTTATAAATGATTTAAGTTGTGTCATTATTGTAAAAATTCATCCGGGGTGTCTGGCAAATAACACAGGCCGGCAAAATTTGGCTGATCTTCTAACCCAGAAACCACAATGTACTTTTCCGAAGGATTTTCATTTTGTGACGCAGTTAAAAACTTAGAAATCACCCCATTCCGACAGAGTCACCGCGGACGCCGCTTAGAACAAAAGAGAAACGTTTTCCCAATCGGGCGGATGGCTGTGCTCATTTAAATTCCGAAACAATCGAACGCGTATCATCTTGGGCACGAGGCAGAGTGAGTAATGATCGCTGTTGGATTAGTTGCGCATTCAGATTGCGGATTATCAGACGAACATCACCTGCTTTTGCGGCTAATTTTATAAATAACACGATAATTACACGTCGCCGTACATAAAGGATGATCGCCGGGCGGATGTGACGCAAGAGGAATTGGTAAATTGATGATGTTAGAACGTCAAGCAGGCGATAAAATCATCTCGATTAAGAGAAGAAAACAATAGTCGGGCGTAACAATGTATTGGATTCGTCGGAACGATTAGTAAACGAATTAGCAATATATATCTGATAAAATGCATTTTTTCCTTTCCTAATACATTCAATGGCTGAGATTAAATGACTATTTTTATAGTTTTTATCTGTCACATTAATAGTACTTCTATTAGTTTGTTTAATGTAAAATCATTTCAAAATTCCCGCGCTGAACTTTTCAAATCAGACCACTTGAGGCACACCACAGTGTGTGGTTTTAGATTTCAATTGACAGTGTCTTATATTGCATTGCATTATATTGCATATTTTGAAAATCTAGACTTAAAATCGTGATGGAATAGTTCAAAAATAAGATACGTTTGCAAAATAACATTTACCTAATGGGAAACAAATTCGGGGAGTCCAGGAGTGAATTGGACTTATTTCCTTGGATGAAAATAAGCAATCTGAATGAAGTTGACTTAGTATACAAGTTTCAAGACAAATGATGTGTGGTTATCATTAAAATTTCTGTTAGCAAGACACATACTCAGAGGACAATTGTCATTTCAGATGTATTTCAGGCTAGATTATATGGAAAATACTCTACTTTGCACCTTAAATTTACTAAAAATTATAGACTTTCCATGGAAAAAGTATTTTCTTACACCAGGGTTAAATTACAATAATTAACGTTCCAAAATATCGCTCTTTTTCATTATTAAAATTTGTAATGACGTTTTTATTTTAATTAAGTTTGTTAGTTTATATTTGTTTGTTTTTGTGTGGTTTCATAGCTAGAGATATTGTCATTTCCCTCACTTAAGACGTATCTAACAAAAACAACCAAATTGAGAGGATTTTATGTGTTCCAATGGTTATTTCTAGTAAAAATGGCAACATTTTCATTAATTATTTTTAGAGAGAAATTGTTGAAAGAAAATTCTGATTTTTTGCACCACAACTCAATTTGCATTTGTCAAACAGAGAAAACAATGGTAGTTAATTAGGTTGAGCTGTAAATTTTCTTCAATTGAAAAGGCATTTTAGTTTCAGGAAACTTAAAATGTCAACATTTTATGACATTTTTTGTAAAAAATTTGTTTTTTCCAATTTTTAAGATAACTTTAGGAACATTTTAAAATTTATTTAGAAATTAAATCGATTTTCATCCAAGGAAACTGGTCTTGAAGCATGTCTCATACAAAAACAACTACCATATTTTAATACCTCTAACTTTTATCTGACTTATTATGATACGCCACTGCCACTGGCTAAATTTCGTCCTTAACTCCTGAGTAAGATTAAAACAAAAAGTCCTAGGTAAAATTTAGTGAGGTTATTTATCTTTTATTTATTTAACAGGATAAATGTTATATGTTTTGAGGTAAACGTTTTCTGTGGGTTATGTTTCTAATATGCTGAATTTACTGAAGTAACAAATAGGGAAAGTATAGTAGAAAAACTGACTTTATTAATTGTAACTTGTTAAAAAATTATACTCATTTATATACATTTTTTTTGGAAACCTTTCTAACCTAAGTTCGTTATAAAATAATTGCGAGTTTACAATTTTATAATGAAACGTTGTCCGTTTTTGTGAACAATTGTTTACACTTTAATATAGATACCTGTTTCCCGAGAAATTTTACGCACGAGTAAGCAGTTTTTTGCCATTTTCTATTACTATAAAATATTAAACAGGGTGTGGCTTTAATTTACCAACAACTCGTAAAGGACAAAAACAATAAATAAAGTGTACAGAGTGATTCATTTAAGGATGTCCGCTATGAACTTTATAACTGAAAAAATGTAATTTTATGAAAATTCGTTTTTATTTTTTTTTAATAACTTTGAAACTGTAAATATTGGAAGCTTTATATTTTCCAGGTTATCCACTGGTGATATTAGAATTTTTCTACTTCTTCTAGATTTTGGTTGTTAGTATTTTTTTTTATTATGGAAGCTGTATTCAATTTTTATTTTTTTGGAGAGCAAAAACCGCTTGATAATAACAAAAACTCTAATAGTACAGGGTGATTCACTATAATTTGACCCCCCCATGAACTTTTTTTATTTTAAGAGTTATAAAAAAAAGTGGAATACAAAAGTTGCACGATTTTTTGTTAAGTTTTCGAAAATGATAGTAGAAAACCAAATGAAGTCTAAACAAAATGAACGCGGATGTTAACTTTGTAAATTTAAATGGAACATCCTGTATATTTTTACATATTTGTCTAGAACGTTTTCTGTCGAGCATAGTCATACAGGGTTTGTTGGGTCCACCTCTAACAATAAGCGAGATAATATTAAAGAACGAAAAGAGGGTTTTTTTATTAAGAAAATAAGATATTTTGTAATTTTCTGCCTTTTTCCAATTCTGTAAGGATTTAGATTTAGTTGTAATATATTTTGACATATCGGACATTGATATAGTCCAAAATGCGAATAGGTATTTTAACTAAATCTCACTAATTAGGCCGTGAGAGGCCTATTTACTCATGGACAGTGTTATATGGTAGGTCATGACAGTGACAGGTAATGTTATGATAATGTTACGATGTTATTGTGTGACAGTTTGTATCATTATTTAATTAACATGGGTTACACAGAAATAGAAGATTGAAATATTATAGGAATTAAAATAGAGTAAGTTATTCTTTATACTCCATACTATCTGTCACTGTCACGACCTACCATATAACATTGTCAATAAGTAAATAGGCCTCTCCCGGCCTAATTAGTGAGATTTAGTTAAAATACCTATAAATATTTTGGACCGTATCAATGTGCGATATGTCAAAATATTACAACTTAATCTGTAAATCCTTACGTAATTGGAAAAAAGGCAGAAATGCCAGAAAGAGGTCTAACAATTACAAATTATTTTCTAATAAGAAAACCTTCTTTCCATTTTTTAATATTATCTCGCTTATTGTTAGAGGTGGACCAAACAAACCCTATTTGACTGCTCGACAGGGAACACTTCATAAAAAAATAGTGCAACTTTTGCATTCCACATTTTTTTATAACTCTTAAAACAAAAAAGTGAAAGGGGGGTCAAAATATAGTGAATCACCCTGTACCTGTCGATTCACGATATTAATTTATATTTATATATTATAACGAGCGTTCAAATAAAAACGTGGTCGAAGTTGGCTCTGACACATTGGACGTAGGGCGTAGCTTATAGCGACCAACTTAACCTCATTTCTCAACGAGCTGTATAGCAGCTGTCAGTTTCAATAACAAAGCGGCGATATAGCGCTTTGACAGATGACGTTTAAGTTCATTTGCTATACGCTACGCCCTACGTCCAAATTTTCAGAACCAACTTGACCACGTTTTTATTTGAACACTCGTTATAAACTTGTAAGTTATTGTTTATTAAGTATTTGTACAAACTTTAAAAGGTAAATATTTGACTAATTTTAAGATAAAAAGTTGATATGAACATGGATCCGCAACGGTTTAGTTCTTGAGATACAGAGAGTCCAAAAAAAAATTTATTTGGGATTTTCATTAATTAAAGTTTTGTTCAATAACATGTCAATTTGACGAAATTCGGGAAAATATTTATTTATATTTATGTTAATGTTCTAAAAATTGTTAATATTTCGAAAATTTATGTGTTTTCGTCTTGTGATATTATATTGATCTGTTTTTAATTATATTTGACAGTTTACATTTTTAAATTATTTTTTCGACAGTTTAAATTTTTAAACTATCGGAAATAATTAAAAATTAAATCATTACAAGTTTAGAGAACGAAAACAGATAACTTTCGAAACGTTAACTAATTGTGTGATTTTTTCAGTGGTTGGGTCAACGGCCTTCTACTGATTCTTTAGAAGCAAGGATTTATTTCATTAATTTTTTAAATTTTCTCACAGGGGATGAAATACGCAATAAGTAAAGGAAAAATAATAATTTTGATGATCTAAATAATTTTTTTGAAACATGTTACCTTCCCCAGACGTTTCATCTAACCAAAATTTGATAAAGAATTGATGATAAGTTTAAAAGAACAGTTTTCCAAACCAGTTATACTTACATTGAAGACAATTTTATCAAAATTATTTACAAAATATTTTTTTTTATATAAATAGCCACGTTGTTCCATGGACTAACATCGACATTTTTGGGGTAAGTTATACGGTAAAAAGGAAACTAAAAGAGACCGCGTTTCTTTTGCCAAACGGTGAGAACGTTTCAATTTTGATAGTTGCTAGAAAACAGACAATTTTTCGAAACGTTAGCTGTGTAACGTGTTGCAAGATTGTTGTGAAGTCGCGAAGAATTATCTACTTTCTCAGTGGGATATTTCAGGTTATGCAAATCTAAATTTATAAAATCAAATCGAGATCCCTTTGGCGCAAAGGGTTATCTACTTAACATTATTCGTCTTCAAACATACCGAACTAAAAACAAAAAATAAAGAAAATATTTTGAAGCAACGCGCTGTTACGTCTACGGGGTTCAATTATTATCAATTTGTTTTTTCCCGAACAATTTAGGAGCATCGCCGACTGATTTTGGGCCACTAGTCACTACTCGCTCACCATACCAAATTCAAATCCTAACGTACAATGAACAATAGACACAGAACAGATACCTTGAAACACATTTCGCAGCACTTTATTTCCTCTGTTGTCTGCAGTCGTTGCCGGACTGATTCTATTGTGCAAACAGACACCTTTTATATTCAGATTTGTCGTAAAATTTCATATTATCCGTTTTCTACGCGTTCTAGCAGGTTCTCTGACACCGAAAGCGGCTTTTGGATTTCTTGCACTGGAACCCTAATTACTTACACGGAAAAAAGTCGCAGCGGGTTAGTTTCGATTTCTTAATGATAGAGATCAACGCGCTGGTTCATTTGGTTTGAGAGCTGCGTGGAAAATTGGACAAATTGGACGGTCGTTTTCCGCTTCCACTGACGGACGGGGCTCCGTTTGCTTCGTGGCGGAAAATCGTTCGGAAAAGTCAGTCGTAAAGCCACGATAAGTAAAAGTAGCTCAGTATATGATGGTTTTTAGGTCCGAATTCTTGTCACATGCACCGATTGTCGTCAAATTTTAACAGTAAGTAGAAAATTGATCAAGAAACAAAAGTTACACAGTGCCGATGTGTGATTTTACCCTGGGGGTGAATGCCACCCCTTCTCGAGGGTGGCAATGGAGGCACCCATGTTAATCGTAAAAATCAATAGAGGGATGAATTCTAAGCAAAAAATCCAAGTTATTTGCCATTGAAAATGTTGATTTTTCATCTAAAAGTGCATGTTTTTCAACAATTTTTGATAAATAACTCGAAAACCTTGCGTTTTATCAAAAAACCCATATACGACAAAAATAAAGCTTTTGAAATAATGAATCCATTCATTTTGATGTTGATTACCGTAGATGTAATAATAATTGAATTATCACTCTCTAAGGGTGATTGTTTATTTTTTGGAAAGTAAAATCGAACCTTTTACCGTAAAATAATGGCGAAAGAACTAATTTTTCGAAGAAAACGAATATAACCTTTTTTAAAGTGCTTGGAAAGACCTTTAAAATGCTTTTTGAAAAAATTTCGTAGCTCAAAAACTCTCGGAGTTATGATGAAAATAAAATGGTTATCTCATTTTTTCGGAGAAAAAATCAACAATAACATCTATGAATGTTTGAACCATAAAAATAGAAACTAAGCGTAATCCATGTACAGTTGACTTTATTTAGGTACTAATAATTTGTTCTGCAAGTTTGACCGGTTTAGAATGCCTAAATTTAAAAAAAAGTTTGAAGTAATGAAATTTTTTTTTTTAATTTTTAAAAATTTTCGTTTTTTTCGAAACAACTCAAAAACTAAACAAAATACGTGAAAAATGCAAGAGTTCAAAATTAAAGGTCTTTTTTATAATATTTTTGCAATTTTTCTGTAAAGCAAAAATTAACTGAGAAATTACGTTTTTTAGTTTGCATTTGCGTATAAGGATCACCTTCTTTGAGCCCATAAAACCTAAAAATCTCGAAAACGAAGAGTTCAAGACCCTTCAACTATAAAGGTTGATCTGTAGCTCTTGCAATTTCCTGCAAATTGCTTTTTGGAACGATGAAAAATATTAATAATTAAAAAAGTTATCGTGACAAAACCAATTGTATTATTCAGTGAAAATTGTCGGATCGTGTAAGTGCCTTAATTTCCGATAGTTTCTGAGGCGTAATACACACATAAACACACACACGCATATGTCCAAACAGAAGAAGTCGACAGTGATGATAGTTCTTTAGATGATATGTAAATTTTTGATAATAAAGTATAATTGTATAAAAATCAAATAAAAAGAAAAGACTGCACTGCTAGATAATTTGTCAACAACTGAAATTTATGGCCGATCGATCAGTGCGGCTGTGTTTGTGCGCCGTTTGCCCGCGCACGTATTCTTCAACTGCCATTTCTACCACCTCCACGTTTAGTTCTACCAGACCTGTATATGGGTATGGCTAAATAAATATGGGAACACGTTTTTCAAAAATTCCAATAGCGACCGAACCTGGTACCATACTGTCTAGCTCTTTGGTCTTTAATTGAGATCGGAAAGACTATATCTAATCGCAGAGTGTTTCCATTGCTAGAAATATTACGACATTTACCACAAGGAATATTCGTTATATAAAGTTTGGAAGAAAGAAAGTGTAGTACAAATTACTTTTTGGCGTATTTTTTACAAAAGTTTGATTATCAACTTTTTATAAATTATGCAGATGTGACGAACTAGTGAAGATGTGCATAGAGCATAAGAAAATAGTGATATTCTTCTGATAAAAACTCACAAGGAACGGTCTTTCGCGATTTTAAGTGATGGTTTTGGCATTAGCCCAATGATGCGGTATCAAAAATACCTAAGTTTGCTTCATCAGAAAACAACAACCAGCCGACTATTTTTTCAAATACCGACTAGGAAAAGGTATCGTTTAATCTGCAAACATTAATAGGTACTTTCGGAAAGGTACCTTCAAACTTTGCCAGATTCTTGAAACTAGAAAATCCAGAAACATATGCCGCTCATGGTGTCTCACAAAGAAAATGAGCTCCATTGTGTTAGTTTTGGTGGCGGAATCCAATTTAATAATGCAACTTTTCTTTTTAATATAAATAAATAAATAGTTAATGGTTTATTGTTATTTTCTTTATTTAAATTACAATAATTATTTTATTTCACTAGTTACTAGAAAAATGTATACACTAGTGACTGAAATTGAAATATATAATAATAATAATAATAATATCTCTACTCCTCATTCTAACCACGAGAATTAGCCCAGAAGTCGGAGACTTGTGCGGGAGAGGAGCCGGCATACTATTATTACGCAGGCTGCATTTGTGCCCAGGAACGACTTATGTTGGTAGGCCCTAACCACCATTCAGTGCAGGAATGAGGGAAACCTGGAAAACCTCATTAATTAGGGGGGTCGTCAAATGCCGACCGGTGTCAATCTCTCACATTGACCCAAGCCAACATTCTTCTACCCTACCATACCTGCACAGAGGGTGCCAATCCTCCATACAAGCATAGCTAATCTACGGTCTACCGGCCGCGGGATTCGAAACTCGGCCAGATCGACACATCGATTTAAGTACTGACGCCTTAAACCGTGCGGCTATCGACCGTGATATGTCATAAAAAAACTAACCCGTACACACCTACAAAACTGCAACTGTTGAACAATATAATAAAATGAGGGAGAAATACATAGAAAATGTGCTCCCAATTACTGATATCTGAAGAATCTATTGAAAACTTATATTTTAAGAGGTTTTGAATTCGAACCAACAAAGATTTCATACAATTTTGCATTGCATTGCTGCACTGCACTGCTAGGCCATTTGTTGACAACTGAATTTATGGCCTGGTAGCGGCCGGGTGTGCGGTTGCCCGCGCGTTCATTCTTCAACTGGGCGACCAGACCTGTATGGGTATGGTTAAATAAATATGGGAACAAATTTTTCAATGCCGAGTTGCTGCGTCAGCGACCGAACTTGGTACATACTGTCAACAACTTGATTCTTCAATTGAGATCGGAAAGACTGTACTATCCTTTTTTGAGGTATTTTGTTTCATTCTGATTTTTTTTTATGTATATTGATATGATTTTATAGTTTAAGAGATATTTTGACGAATTTAGAGGTTTTCTAAAGATTGTGAACCATTTTGAAAAATTTGGAAGTCTCTCTTCATACACGCATATTTCGAGTATTTTCAATATTTTTAATGTATTTCTAAGTAACAGTGATTTGATATAGGGACAACTGTTAATATGCCACTTCTCGTTGTTTTTAACAATAAACTTTTTTTCAAATATTATTTCGCTTAAAAATAACTCCTGTAGCACACGCCACTGGCCAAACTTTCTATTGCTGAATATTTACCGCGAGTTTTTCGCCTTCTAGCGATATTTATTTTTATTTGGCTTTGACTATACGTTACAGCATCTTCCGGAAGTCCACCACCGGCTTCCGGAAGAGCCGATTTCTTTCTCGGCCGGACTAAATTGCAAAATGTGATCGTGTATTATTCTTAGTAAGCTTTGTTTGAGAAAAGCAAAATAAAACGAATCAAATTTAGGAACAAATGCACGAACATTGATATAGAGTTGTGTTCTTGATGGGAATTGCAATCCATATTCTCAAAATTGTTCTCAAATTTGACATAACATAAAGAGATCTCGATTTGGTAGACAATGAAGAAGGATTTTTTCAAATAATTTGCATTAATTTCGCTGTTATATACGACGGTTATTCTGACGAGTAATTAACTGCTTCTTCCGCTTTTATTTAATTTTTTTTGTAGCATAAAAACTGTAGTAATTAAAGGAATCATCATTAACTCTTCGTTCTAGGTAAATTAATAAGACATTCCCAATTTCGTCTGTCTAATCGATTAGAGCATGTTAAATCCGTCTTTTCAGATATCTCAAAGTGTACATTTGTAAGGTATTGCACAAAACAAACCCGAGTTTGATTTTTTTCCGCAGCCAAAATAAAAACAATACATGACTTCTGTTCCTCTAGACTGGAACCTATTATTTGATCTTGATAATTGGGCAATACGCTTTGTAAAAGTGTTCGTTGGGTTATTTCTAAACGAAACCCATGCCGCAACACGTTCTAGAATGAAACCGAGAAAAGGTTTCGTTTCAATTTGAAATCATAATCGATATTGTGTGTATGGTAACACAATGTATTGTATGTAGGGGTTATATAATTCTTTTGAATGCAGCCAGACATGCAACGGCGGTTTCTAATGGTTTATTAAATCAGATACAATTTCACGGTAGTTAATTTTTATCGACTGTACCCTGGTGGTGGTTACGGAGACTTTGCTGTTATTCTTTTAATGTAACTAAGGATAATCCTCTGCCGCAATGTTCTCTAAGGAGATACGGGTTTTTGATTTCCTCGCAACAGATTGACCAAAATTGGTATTTCCAGATAATGACGATTGAGTCGTTCAATCTGTTTGGAATTATAGAGGAGTCCTAATTCTCTTATTTATTTTTGGGAGTCCTAGCTAAAATATAGAGGGTAGAGAAAAGGTACCCTTGGATATTTTCATGGACTATTAACTGGGCCAAAAAAAAACGACTATTTTTTTTTTAAAGATATCATTCAGAATGACGAAAAAAAATATCGCGAGAGTTTGAGCCCTTAATATGTATTAGTTTTAAGAGGTCTATCATCGCTAGTTTCGACTTTTATTCCTGATCCCATTTTTGCGTCAAAACTGCCAAACCATCGAGGTAAAAAAAATTTATCTACATATATTTTTTAAGGATATTGAATGCCCTACAAAAAAGGTCTGAAATTTTCGGCAGACGAG